TAGGAACATAAAATCAGCCTTGAAAATTGTCAGAAAAATGTATTGACCCTAGCCTGAAGATTCAGTTTGGATGCTTTTGACTTCGGAAATATATTTCATACCAACATTTAATATGATATTATGATTTTGATACTTTTCTATTAATTGAGTTTCTGGAAAAAACTTTTTATTATAAGCCCTTCATCCAAGTGCTGACAAAAAAAATGTAAAATAGATAGAATCTTAAGAATATTCTTACTAAAATAAAATAATTTTAATATTGTTTTAAATCAGGTCTTCAGACATTTGTGATGTGCTTCTTCAAATTTTGTCACTTATGTTGTCAACACCACACAATCTACCTATTTTATCTTCTGACCTGACTGCAGATGAATTATTTTTTCCTTACAACTTTACAATTATACATGTATACAAATATACCTGCAAATATACCTAAAGCAATCATATGCTGTTTTGACTTTGAAAAAGAGGCTTACTGAAAAAAATTTCATAGCCATCCTGAGTCAACATTAATAAAAACATAAAATGCAATACAAAAATATCAATTTTAGTCTGGATTATCTGGATTTGATGACTAATGTTTTGAATGGAAGCTGCTGTTATATAAAAAAATACTGTAATCATTGAGTTAGAATAAAAACAGACAGGAAGAGTTTCTGTAAAGAACAGACAGAGGAATGCTGTTGAAGATTTCAGAAAGGACAAATGTTTGATGACAAGATATCCTGGAGTCTTGCTGTGTTTCTTGGGAATAAAGAAAGAAGTTCTTTCAGCCCTGTAATAACATTTGAATCACATGTTTGCTGGATGTGTTTGTGAAGCAAATCATTTTATACCCTCTACACTTGGTCAGCCATCAGGGTAGGTCAGCCTACCCTCTATGGATATTATAATTTTTTTTCTTATTCCCTGTGCAGGCAGCCTGTGGTCTGCTGGACCATCTTCCTCAGATAACATAGGACACAATTCCAATTAATTTTATAGCTGTGAATTTGAGTTCTAACAAGTCTCAGAACTGCTTGGATTTTCTGCTCATCTTTTATTGGTTTTGTTTTTTGGGGTTTTTTTCTGGCATAAATAAATTAAGCTTGCTTCCTTTTTTTCCTAAAAGAAAGGGATATTGAGGGTTTGTTGGCCAAACATGTCTTCCTACATGTCTTCCTACTCTCAGGAATTACATGCCTTCATTTTTCTGTGCTCTTTCTTTCCTACTCTATAATCCTAAAGATAGGAATAATTTGGGATAACTGGGATTTTTTTTTTCCAGCTCAACGCTCTGCCTTTTAGGAATCTTTCTTTTCCCTGTAAGAGATCTCCTAAAATTTTTTTGACTTTTTATTGCAGTATCATTCTTGGGGAGTCTGAAGTTCTGGCACATTTTGATTCATTTTTGCTTTCTTTGTCCTTCTAATCCACTTGAAAGACATCCTTCTCTTCCTCTCCCCTTCCCAATTTCTTAACTACTGGCACTTTTGCCTGATGTGTTTGGCTTTGGGGCAGAAGTCAATCTTTTATCCAGGCTATCTTAAACAGTGCGTTGGGCTGCTTTGCCAATGTTAATTGTGGTTTTGACTACCAAACTTTCCACTGCACCTGTTTCTGACTTAATTAATAAATGCTCCATTTGTTTCCAGAGTAGTAGCCCATTCATCTTCAGTTGCAGTGCTTTCCACTTGTTCCGTGACAAAGTCTTCTGTGCTAATCATGCTGTTAGCAATCCTCTCTTCATACTGTGCACAGTTTTCTGGCACGTGACAGCTCCTGTTTCACTTTTGATGGATCTTCTTGCAGCCTTTCCTTCTTCTTTTAATTTTTTCCAGGTTTCAAACACCCACTTGCCTTTTGAGAATGGCCACAGCAGATGAACTTATGTGGTGTCACATTGGTTCACACTCAGAGCCCCACACTCTTGGCTGTTTTAGCCCCTTTCTGTTATTGGTTACATCAATGGTATAAGACCATTTTGTCTCTTCCTTAATCCTTCAGGCAGAAGACTGGTGGTCTTTTTTTTCGCAAGAAATTGAAGATCATCTATTAATGTTTAATTCTGTGTTTTTTCAACAACCTGTGAGATGTAGCCTAGGATCTCAAAGATTATAGGGTGGTGTCTTTGTATTGTATCCTTAACCTTTCAAGATTTTAAAACTGATTTTATAACTTCAAAGACTAAACAAATTTTCTGTTCAACAATAAACTTTCTGCTCACTGTAACAACAATTTTTTATGTTTATGGTCACCATTGCATTCACTTTCTAACTATAATTTTATATATCATCAATATACGGTATTAATTACTTTCATGCTTATTTGCAATTTTTTTATATTTACCTTTTCTGCTAGAGTTGAATGAAAATTATTAACCATACTCTTCAGAATAAAATAACCTGGGTGAATAAAGCATGGACAGCTCCTATTTTTTTTTTCCTTTTTTTGGTATGCCTTTCTTGCTGGTAGAAAATAAATCAGTATTTTGTTAAATATTAAAATAGATCCAGTCAGACTGCAATCCCTCCAAACTTCTCATTTATAGCAAAGGCACATGACAAAAGTCTTTTTCTGTGTCAATTATCAATCTGTTCATCATTAGCTCTCATCTGAGCTACTTCATGTAAGCCATAAGTAACAAAATTTGCTCTAGAGTTCGACTAGTAAAGTACTTTCATATGGCCTGACTTTATCTTGTCACACAGGAAAAAAATTGTCATTGGTGTCCTCTCCCAGGCAAAGAATCATAGAATGGTTTGAGTTGGCAGAATCTCTACAGACCATCCAATTCAAACCCCACTGCCATGGGCAGACACACCTTCCCCTAGAACAATTTCTTGAAGATCCATTCAACCTTGCCTTGAACAATTCCATGGACAGAGCATAATATTGGCAGTACCAAGGAATTCTACCTGAGAAATCATAATGTTACTCCTTTTAACTGGACTCTTTCTTCAGTCTTTTACCTTCCTTGGCCTTTACAGGTGATCCAATATTGGTTTGATTTATTTAATGAGAGACCCTTGCTGATATCTTTTCTCTTTTTAGATCACTTCCATGCTCCAAATCTGGAAGATGAACCTCTCTCTCATGGTCCTTGCCCCCTCCTTCTCTTTTTCTTTCCAGGTAGGGCATGTTTATTAATTCAAGCCTTGTTAGCCACATATAGTATAGACCTTACAGTCTGCTTAAGCACTTTTTTTCCTGTCAATAAAGAGGAATGTATCTCATCCAGTATTTTTTACCTATAAACTGACTTTAATCCTGCAAGGCGCAGCATGTCAGTAAATCATGTCATCCTTAACAAACCCATTTGATTTCAGAGGGGTTTACATTTCACAAATGTAAGCATCAGATTTCATGGGGCTTGGTGAAGACTTGTGCTTACCAAAGTTGACATTGTCCCTCACATCATGCTGGACTAAGAAGTGGGATTTGGTTTATAGCACAAAACTGAGAAATCTGAAAGTCCAATTTTTTTTTCATTTTGACCAAAAATATATGCTACAAGAAGATATTTTTCTATCTACTGCCTGCATATCTGGGTAGAATCATTTAATCAGACAGAATCTATGGAGAAAGAACAGGAAGATAGCTTTGATTTTACTCCTTGCACTCTCAGTTTCTGACCTGACAGATGTCAAACTCATAAGACAGGAACACTTTTAAAATTTGATATTTAAGCAAAAACTCTCAGGGATGAAATAATATCTTTGCTAGCACACACTTTTTCTGTCATTCAATCCTACTTTAAAGTATCCAAAGTTCAGATAAATCCATCAACCTTAAACAAGAGTGATGAGACAAAATATCTGGCCTACTAATGAAGCTTTAAATACTGTTAACAAAAGTGTAAGGACAGAGAAGGTACAGAGAATTAACACAGATTCAGTGCGCCTGTGCTAAATTTTCTTAGAAGTGTTGTATTACACATTTAAAAGTACACTTTTGAAAATACTTGGGGCTTTTGCAGCAAAATTTGCCGTGACACTAATGGGCATCACAAGATTCATTTCCCACACACAGCTTTGAACATCCATCTGTTCTTTCCTATACATTTTCTTCTGCCAGAACCATCATTACAACACCTCAGCACCTTCCAGTAGTGCTGAAGACTCTGTGAGTTATATCTTTCATGAGTGATTTCTTCTGTTACATATGCCCTTATGCAGTTATATTTGCCTGAAAGTAGCTCATTCCCTCCCTCCATCCCTCCCTCCCTTCCTCCCTCCATCCCTTCCTTCCTTCATTCCTTCCTTCCTTCCTTCTTCTTCTCCCTCCCTCCCGTCCATTCGTGCATCCATCCGTCCTATTAAAACCTATTTAACTTTAAAAGAACCAAGATTTTTACTCACAGCTGTTCACAGAAGCTTGGAATAAAGAAATGAAATTTACAAGTGTGCACATTTTCTAAACCCAAAAATTTCTTTAAACCTCTCCAGTTATCAGGTATTATGATTTTATATGACAGCTGTGTCATAGGTCATCTCATTTTTTTATTTCCATTACTTACAGAAATATACCTTTTCACTGAAGCTGATAAAAAACTCATATCATGTAGCATTTATGCATGTGCAATGTGTTGGAAGAAAAATTTATCTTAAAATGAATAAGATTTTAAAAATCAAATTATTTCCTATGTAGCAAACTCAAATACTAAGAATATATTTATATATTCTCAAATAACTCAAATATATACTCAAATATATACTCAAATAACTAAGAACTATATTTTAAAAGAGATCACAAAAGGTATTTTTTCAAAAAGAAATTGCAGGGGTTGGGGTGGTTAGCAACAGCACACCAGCATACAGCAACACCCCAGTGTTAAAATACTGAACTTACATACTGGAATATTTTTGAGTGAGTTTTAGCAGAACGTGCACATTTTAAAAATTTCAGCCATCTGAAATTTTTTTTTCTGATATGCATGAACAATTCCAATAGCACAGACTGTCAATGTAGCATTGAGAGTGAGGTCTAGAACTATTAATAAGATTTTAATCTTTCATTACCTGAGGTGTTCAATGACATTTTGCTTTGCCGTGAAGAAGCTTGGCAATTTATTGAATTGCATCCTCCTGGAAGTAAAAATAAAAGGGTACTCAGCACAACAGAATCATATCCATATTTAGTCTAAGTATGTACCTTATTACAGGGAAGAACAGGAAGAATCTAGTAGTCAACAAAGATAATAGAGTAAGAAAGAGGAAAAGATATGCATACCTTAGATAACACATTTTGTGAATTTGCAGAGAGACTTATTTTCCTGACACCAGGCTGATAAACTCTTTTCCATCCCCAACACCTCAGCTTCAGCAAATATAAAATCCTGAGCTCTCAGCACCTCCAAAAATAGGGTTGTGAGAAAGTATACCCTACCTGGAAATCCAGCCTGGCATTTTAAGATGTGAAAATGATGCTTTTCTGGAACAGCAGAAGGAAAGAGATTTTTTCAACAAAGTGACCACCTTTTGGTCACTCAAAAGTCTCCTGTCAAGGATGAGGTAACCAAAGCTGAAAAATTCGGTAAATTCCTTCCAACAGAAACATCAGGTCATGTTACCTCAAATAGACCAAAAAGGTATTTTCTTTCTCTTTATTCAGGAGATGTAAATTGTGCTTTAGAAGGGACAATTTCTCTGCATGGTGCAATGGAAAATAATCCAGAACTTTTAAACCCAGGGAGCCTTTGAAAGCTATTTTTAAAATTGGTTTTTCCTGCAGGGTTCTACTGAGCTTAATGAACCTAGTGGGCTTGGCAGGCAGTCCTGCTGGCTCATGCAGTCTGTGGGAAGTGGGGTTACTCTGGAGCTCATCCATCTCCATATCACATCTCAAAGCAGCAGCTCTACCAGATGTGCTAGTGGAACAGTTCTGCCAACCCAGCGGATAGGCCCTTACGTATTTAAATTCTTTGGCTACTAAATTTAAATTACCCTTGTGCACTTAAAGCTACACACACACACACACACACACACACAAGCACGCACACATATGCTAACAGGCAAGTCACCTACAAGCCTAGGAAGCATAATAATGTCCAGATGAAGACTGCTCAAGCCATTCCTTGCCAATCCCAGTTCAAACTCAGCATTTTATTAAATCTGCATTGAAAATATCTCCTTCACAAACAGAGTTTGTGCAACTATTTCTAACATCATTGCTACTCCTGCTGTTTGAATTCATGGGCTGATATGTAACCAGTTGATGGCTAATAAGCAGGCTTACCTTGCTGCATTAAAGTGGAATACAGAAATGCAAAAAAACTCCTTCTAAAAAAAAATAAATTAAAAGCCAAGGAGTTTATTAGGTCCTTTAAAAGCCATTAAAAGTTTCTAACGACTTTACTCTGTAAGATTTTAAAGTTTTACCAAAAGTAAACAAATCAGTAGAATATAATATTAAATTGAGGTATTAAGATGAACTATTTTTACTTTTAGAAGATAAGAGAGCATTGATTGCAAAGTACACATCCAGGAAGGCAAAAAGGTGCCGTCATCTGCCCCAGAACTGAAAGTGGGAAGTATATTGTAATTGTAGAAATTATTGTGCTATTGATGCAAACCCTGTAAGCTCATCAAGACTGCTTGTCCTCTCAAGTCCCCTTGATGCCAACTTGCCCTTCAATTAAATTTCTCTAGGACTTGAAAGAGAAACTGTGTATGAACTTGACATCTCTCCAGTGGAATAAATATCAATATTTTCACTGATTTAATTGGAGTACAATTAGGCCTTCTGCCACACACAAAAAAAAACCTAATCAGGAAATTTATAGAAACAGCTGTATACTCTGAAGAGTCTTATAGGTGCAGGGACAGTCCAGTAATATCCAAAAGGGACTTACACTCCAGCCTGAAATTGTGGAGGTCTTCTTTCCTTCTGCTCTTTTCCCTTGACTGTTTTAAAGAAGGTTCAGTCTTGATATCATAGGCTGCAAAGCTGGAAAAACATAGGGGTCAATACTGATATCTAAACTTGTGGCACTTATTGATTAACATAACCACCCTTGAGTTTATCTTAATTCCACTTTATGGCTTGTTCCTACATTAATGCTTGACAAACACAGAGAAGAAACCTAATTTATGTGTTTCCAGTGGGTAAGCTTCAGAAGCATACAAATGTACACAAAGTATCTCAGTAGGGCATTTTCACAGTGCCACTTCTGTAGGAGCACCTAATATACCACTGCAGATTACAGACTAAAACCACTGGAGCAGAGTGCAGCCCATGCCAGAGCCAATGCCAGAGGACAGGAAAAAATAAACCTTTTCTCTAGCTCCTGTTTCGGGTTCTGGCCTTTTCATTTTTTAGTTTAACACAGTTTCACTGGAGTATGAACCAAAGAGATTGCAGAGCTAGGAGACCTTTGAATAATGGGAAGAGGTGAACTGAAAAATTGGATTCCTTCAAGCTTCGTGGCCTAAGCTGCCATATTTGTCTCCCCACCCAGCCTCCCTTCTTTCTATCCATTGCTACCAATGATCAAAACACTTTGTTAGACAGTGATTTTGTTTTGTCAAAACCCAACATGTTACAGGCTCCATAACATTTGAGGAGTGAAAATTAGTCACTTCGATCTCACAGGTAAAGTGCTTTGAAGATTACACAACCTGAGGAGCAAAAACAAGACAGTTCATAAAAATAGAAATGCTTTGTCTTCTACTTTAAACATAATAATAATTAGTTCATTAAGCATCCAGACTTGGCTGGGGAGGAGGGGAGAGAAGGTTTTGGGGGCTATTTTTGGCTTATTTTTAGTAATTTTCCAATATTTTAATTGTGTTTAAAAAAGAGATCTGTGGAGAAAATACCTTGATATTTAATGTTCTGCCTGGCTGAAAGGAATGAGTCCCACCATTTGCCACATCCACATGTTTTTTGAATACTGCCAGGGGTGGTGATTGCACCACTTCCCTGGGCTGTCTGTTCCAGTGCCTGACTACTCTTCCAATGAAGAATTTTTTCTTATCTAATTTAGACCTTCCCTGGTTGAGGAGCTTGAAAAAGAAATTTCAGATGCCTAATCTGAAAAAGCTGGAGGAACAACAGGTTGTTCTCATTCAGCATGCTTTAAAAAAGACTTAGGCCTCTGTTTTGTCATAAACTTCTTATCATCATCAGTTTATAAAAGTGCATAAAAATATATCAGTTTATAAAAATGCATTATTTTAACTCAGGTGTCTTTAGCTTACCTTTGCTAACATCTTCTAGATAATTTTATTTTAGGAGGAAGTGGTATTTTCCAATATAGGGAAGTATATAAAGAAAAGGGAAAAATTCTTCCTTCTGCCTGAGAAGTGTGACAAATCTATAGCTGCTTCCTAGAAAAAATATAGGAAAATTGGAGATGTCAAGCATCTTGGAGTGTCTGTGACGTTGGAAAAAAATGTATTCACATGTTGGTCACAGTTTGGTCTCTACCATTTCAATATCAGTTAAGAAGATATAATTAAATTAATTATAGAAAAATCTCTTTCAAAATATTATCTGGTAGAAACTGAACATGCTTACAAAAGTGCAGATGAAATGAAAAATTTGCCCTGCAAACATAATAGCAATAGGAAATGCTATTTGGAGATGTTGAGGCTCTGGATTCATTTCACTGACTGTTGAATCTAAATGCAAATTTGGGCAGAAAGGTCTAAGAGGTAGAATGCAAAAATTATTTCTGCAGTACAACTCTTAAAACTGGAAGATTAAATCTTCCATTTGTACTTTTAAATTAAAGGTAAATATCTTACAGTATGACAGGGGGATAAAGCTCCAATGAAGGAATGTGCAAGAGCTGACAAGTGAAACTTCACAATTTTTGTAAAATGTTTTTATGTGCATCAGATCCAGACTATGGCAAGGTGGTTTTGACCAGCCTTTGTTTTGGGGCAGTGAATTAAAAGTAAAAAAAATGTCATTCAAAACTCTGGAAAGGCTCATTCTGCTGCCCCATTAGTTGACACATTAGCTTGTATTTTGTGTCGTATGACTTGATATATATTAGCATAATTCAGCAAAACATGATGTAAAAGGTTTGTGGCATGTTGGAAATATGGAAGAAAAAAATTATTTCGGAAGAACTGCTCTGCCTGGAAGATGATGCACTGCCTCCTTCTTTTCCCTGCTAAATCACTCACTATGTTGTTAACTTTTCAAATCATTGCAGAATTACAGCATACTGATAACATAATCATAATCACAAAAACTCAGCTGGACATCACCCTCAACACAAAAAGAGCAAAGAACGTAAAAGAGAAGCACATAGTTCTGCATCAATCTCACAACTCTACTCTGCACAAATACAATCACACACTTGAATGTTCCTAACATTACTGTTATGGATCAAAAGAAACATGTTACTGTCACAAAGATGCTCTGAGACAAATTCACTGGTCCAAGGAAAATGGCAGCATGTTGTAACTGATTTGCTACAGGTGTTGGATAAAAACTTATAAAATAGTGTAGAAATAAGATATCAATCAATTTCAAGGGGAAAAAATGTTGGCAGGACTAAAATAAAACATTATGACATTATGACAGATAAAATATTTATGACATTTAGAAATATAATTCTTCCACTTCTTATTTTAGAAGATTTAATCTTCTAAATTTTTACCTCAGTATTTTAGAAGATTTCTAAATACCAGAAAGGTAAAGTAAATTCTAACTCTCTTTAAAAGAGTTTGAATAAGACCTTAGCTAAAACCCTAAAGCTTTAGTCTTAAATAAAAACAAGTGATGCTGCGAATCTTTCTATTGATTTCAGAGGAGGTTTGATTGGATGCATATTAGATTGTCATTATACAGAATTCTTCACTGTAACAAACTGAACAGGACACAAGTTATTTAGATCAAATATTGCTTTAGAGGGTTTTGTTGGTTTTGTTTGTTTGCATTTTTTTAAACTGGGTTTCAATTTGTTTCTGTGACTTAAATAATTTTTTTTATTTACTCTGTTTCATTTATATGTAAAATAGAACAGCTTTTCTCCTGTCTTTTGGCAATCAGGTTTTTTTTCCACTCAAACAACCTCGTATTTATTCTGTAAGAAACTATTCACTCATGTGAAAAAAATTCTAGCTCTTCCAATTTTCATTTAATTTGCTTTAGCATCTTGGAGTGACTCAGAGATTCAATTTTTCCAAATACATAATTTTTAGCTTTAATGCTTGAGTTGTAAGTAGTGCAGGAGGCAAAGAGCTGCACCAGAATAACCAGGTGCACAAATAATATTGTTCTGTTACCAAAATTAAGATCTGATAAAGTTCCTTAGTGAATCAAGATACAGATGTGCCGTAATAGCACGTTGTTAGTGATATATTTTGTTATCACACTACAAAGCTTTAAAGATCATTCTAATTTCCTAACCCAAATTTGTTAATGTACCCTATTTTCCCATTTTCCATTCCTCTTATTAATTTAGAAAGGGAAAATGACTGCAACACAGATTGATTGTATTTACACTGCAATTCTATGTAGTTAACATCTGCAAATTTGTTTCTTTTGTCTCTCTGGAGATATTTCAACACTGGACAGATAATAAGAATTAATCTTGAAGTAATATTTAGAGATCTAACCCATGTGAACAGCAAACCTATCAATACAATCCTTTAGCATTTCACTATGACTGCAAAATCTTTGCTCACCCATGCATGAGCTCTGACTCACATGACAATCACTTCCTAGACTATCTATTAAAAATACAAGAATTCGTGTGAATTCTTTCATTATGAATTATGCATTCAAAACATCACCACGCCTGTCTTATTGTGGGCAATTTTTTAAATTTTTTTTTTTTTTGGCTGGCTGAAAGCATCAAAGACAGTAGAAGATGCAAATAATCTGCATGTTATTCATAACACATAGAACACTTACCATAGAAAAGAC